ATTTTTTTTTTTTTTTGTATTCTGTGAATAGCAGACACAGATAGCTTTGTTCCCATTTAGTTTTAATGATGGCAATAAATGAGTCTTGCCCCCATCCATGGTGGATTTTTGGCTGATTTGATTTTGAGCCACTTTATTTTGTCTCTATTAAATCTTCTGTTAAATGGTATTTATGTGTTTAAAGAAAAACCCTCACATATCTAATAATTATAGAAAAATATTATTTATTTAGAAATGAATTCACTTGTAGAGAAATATATAGTTTATGATTCATTCTATATGACATTCTGGCAAAATTGTAGAGAGTGAAAAGTCAGTTGCTGCTGGGGGTAAACAGAAGGGAGGAGGGGTAAATTGGTGACAGACTAATGCTTATAGTAAATCAATCTTTCTGGTACTGTAAGGGTTAGCTTATGAACTTATGATTTTCTTCAAATCCACACAACTGCTTGACACTAATAAAAGCTGTAGCCATTGGTTAACAATAGTATGATGATACAGTCTATCAAACATAGTAAATGTTGCAGATGAATATGCAGATGTGAATAACTGGAGAAAATGGTTGGGGCCTGTAGGAGACAGCATATAAGGACAATGTTTTTTTCTTTCTTTTTGCTGAGTGTCTTAATTCTTCCAAAATGTGTAGTTAGTATGTTAATTTTAAAAAGATACTAATTGCTTAAAATAGTATATGAATTTTAGATAAAGTAACCAAATAATTGTAACAACCTTTTGAATGTACTTGGAAATCATATTGCCAGTTTTTGACCCCTGCAGTCACTCTTGATAATTCTTTTTTGCTTTTTGTTTTTTGTTATGCTTGTCTATTAGGAGTACTGGCCCTTTCTTGCTACCCGCCTGACTCAAATGATGAGAATGGAGAAGCTACTGATCACTTGGTACCAACTATTTTGGATAAAGCTCATAAATATAATCTGAAGGTATTTAATTTGTTATCAAACTGTATTTATCCTCTTACCCTCTTGGTAGTAAATACTACTTTACATACTCATTTTAATTAAAATTTCATATATGTAGAAATGTTCTAAAATAATACTACTTCATCAAAGTATGTTTTAATAATTTAAATTTTAAAACTTATCCAATTATAAGATACCCCTTACTGTTTTTGCTAACCATGTTTTATATTCATCTATTACCTTTTGTATTATTTTTTAAACAGGGACCTACTAGGTAGCTCTGACTGGCTTGGAACTTGTTATATGGACCAAGTTGATATGGAGCTCATAGTAATCCTCCTGCCTCTGTCTCTCAGGTGTTGTGACTAAAGATATGCACTACATTTTCTGGCCTTTACTATGTGTTTATTAGGAAGAGGAAGATTTGACAGGTTCCTTTGTGAACAGAATGTAGAAATTAGTGAAATTAATGTCTGAATATTCTCTAAATATTGAAAACTACTATTGTTATCCATAAATTTATATCTTTATAAGGTAGTTAAAAATAAATTTCTGTCCAAATATTTTCTTTTTTTGAAATTTTAAATTAATTCTTTGAGAATTTTGTACAGTGCCTTTTGTTAACAAACACCCTATTTTGTATCAGATCTACCCCCTCTTCCTTCCCCACTCATCTTTGTGTTCTGCCTCCCCCCTTTATTCATGAAGTTCAGTTTGTGCTGTCCTTATGTACTTTGATGTTTGACCTTCTACTGGAGTTTGATTGGCATACTAGGGCCCATACTCTTAAAGAAAACTGACTCTACTTCTCTCAGATATCACTGCCAGTAGTTCTAAAGCTAGGGATAGGTCTTGATATCCAGCTACCATCTCCATGTTGGGATTTTATCTGGCTTGAGCTTGCACAGATCTCATGAGTATTGCTATAATGTGATGAGTTCTTATGCGCAGATAGGCTGTTGTATCCAGATAATACTGTTTCCTTATAGTAGTTCTGTGTTCTGATTCTTGGTATCTTTCTACTTTCTTTTCTGCATTGCTCCTTTATCTCAGTGAAGAGATGTGTGATATAGACCTCTCCTGTAGTACTCAGCATTTTGCAGTATCTTATTGTCTGCCTCTTGACCAGTTCACCATATACTGCAGAAACAAATACCTCTGAGGGTTGAGAGATGAACTAATCTATTAGTCATTAGGAGTTTGGCTTAATACTATGTCTATTTAGCAGAATAAGAGTGGTAAGTTCTCATTTAGGGGCTATGACCTATTTAGCCATTGGGTCTTGGCTGCATAAAGGTTCTACGTATGGATTCAATCCTAAAGATTGGACCTTAGATTGGACCTTAAATCAAAAAGGTGATTGGTTGTCTCATGGCATTTATGCTATTATTTCACCAGTAGTTATGTTTTCAGGCTGGTTATCATTGTAGCTCACAAAGTGCATAGTTGGGGGCAGATTCTTGTGTTAGTCAGTAGTGTGTATAGCAACTTTGAACACTATTAAGGCTATCTAGTAGGAACAGACTTCCAGATTAGTACCAGATTTATTTATCCATATTCTAGAACTCAAGTTCATAGTGTCTTCAGCAGTAGAATGTTATAGTCAAATTCTGGGGGATAAGAAAGATTGGAAGAGTATTGGCAATAGTTCAACGTTTTTAATTGTTCAACATTTTTAATAGTTCAACATATTTTTGTTTCTGTCTCTCTGCTTTGTTTTGTTTTTCAATACAGTCTTTCTTTGCATAGCCTTGGCTATCCTAGACCTAACTTACTCTATAGACAGGGCTGGCCTCAAAGTCACAAAGATTCCCCTGCCTCTGCCTCCTGAGTGCTGCCATTAAAGGAATATGCCACCACTGCCTGGCTCTGGTTTCTCTTCAAATAGTATAACTCCTTCACCTTTATATCTATTATATTTGTCTTATCTTGTTTCTATAGCTAAGATGTAAAGTTCTGAATTGACTTCAGCATGGATATAAAGTGTGGGGGACCCCTTGTCTCATTCATTGTTTTTTGGCAATACTTTGAATCTTTCCTATTTAGTATGATATTAGGTATAAATTTGCCATATTATATTGAAGTAGGTACCTTCTCCTCCTAGGTATTAGGGGATTGTTTTGTTGTTTGCTTGTATCATGAAAAAATGTTGGGCTTTTTCTGTGTCTCTAAAGTCTGGTAGATTTCAGCAATGAGTTAGTATATCTGTGGTTGGACGTTTTTTTATTAATTGGGAGATTTTTAGATATGCATTCACTCCTACTGTGTACATAAACCTGTTAATGATATTTATATCCCCTTGTTTTAATTTTAGGAGCACCTATGTTCCTAGAAATGTATCTATTACTTCAAAATTGTCCAAAGTATTAGAACATATGTTTGGAAGTATGCCCTGAAGTCTTCTGTATGTCATGTCAACATTCCTTCTTTCTTCTATATATTTAGCAATATTAAATGACAGATGATTATTTTCTAGGCTTGTCTGTTTGAAATTCTAAATGCTTCCTGGATCTCTTCCTAGATTTAGGAAATTTGAATTTTATTTTATTCAACGTGCCTTTTAGTATTTTAACCTCTTTCTATGCTCTTGATTTGTAAATTGGTTTTTCTCACATTCTTTGCTCATACTTTCTTCTTATTTTATCTTCATTGATGCCTAAATGATCTTGTTTATCTATCTTCTCTTCAAGACTTGATCTTCCCTTGATCTAATCATTGGTAAGGATTTCTACTGAATTTATTTCCATCTTAGTTCTTTCTTATATTTTTGTTTTTATGTTTTAAAATCCACATAATAGAATAACAACCACTTTCTAAAATGGGCCAAATATAAAATATTTTACGTATTTGGGGTTACATGATCTCTGTAAAAGATATATTTTAAATTCTTTAATTGTATTTTTATTGAAAAAAATTACTTTTGTATAGTATATTCTAATCATGCTTTTCCCTCCCCACTCCTCCCAGATCCTCCTCACCTTTCCAAATTCATGTCCTTTCTTTCTGCCTTTAAACAAGAAACACTCAAGCTGTGCAGTAGTGAAGCACATCTTTAATCCCATCACTTGGAAGGCAGAGGCAGGTGGAGCTCTGTGAGTTCCAGGGCAGCCAGGTCTACAACGCTACACAGAGAAACCCTGTCTTGAAGAAGAAAAAAGAAAACTAGAACACAGTAACAACAACAAAAAAACCCAAACAAAATAAAAACAAAACAAGAAACTTACACTTACACACACACACACACACACACACACACACACACACACCCACACAATTTCAAACCATAATATACACACAAATGAACCATAATGCGAATATTCTCCAAACAGAATAATATGAAGTAGCTTTGAATTTGTTTTGTGTTGGCCATCTACTGCTGGCCATGTGGCCAACCTAATGCGTGGTTAATATACCCAGGAAGAAAACGAATTTTTTCCTTTGCAAGTGGTTGTCAGCTGCAGATAGCATCTTGGATATGCATGGAAACTCCAGTCCACTTAGACCACTCGGCCCTGGGACCCATTCTGATTGAACCTGTGCAGGCCCTGTGTGTGGTGCCATAGTCTCTGTGAAATCATATATACACTATACCCAATATGTCTGGAAGACAATGCTTTCTTGGAGTCATCTACCCTCTCTAATTCTTACAGTACTTCATCTCCTCTTATGTGTAGCTCCCTGAGCTCTGAAAGGAGGAGTTTGATGAAAAGTCCCACTTACTGAGGGTTTCAAAATTTCTTCCTTTTTGTACACTATCAAGTTGTGGGTCTCTGTGGTAGTTCCCATCTACTGCAAGAGGAAACTTTGCTGATGATGGGCGAGACACTGATGTGTGTGTATAACAGAATCTTGTTAGAAATCATTTTATTACTATGCTCCTTATGTCAGAACAGTAGTGTTTGGTTTTCCTGTAGGCTCCTGGCCTATCCTATCCCCGGTTCTGTGCTACCCAATGCCAGGCATGGGTTCTGTCTTTTGGAGTAGACCTTAACTCCAGTCAGAGTGGTGGGTTACTCCCACAATGCTGTGTCACTATTGTACTAGTTTATGTTGCAGGAGGCCACCATTGTAGATTGCAGGTTTTGTGTCCGAGTTGTATTTTAACTTTCTCCTATGGATGTGCGCAGAGTACCTTCCAATCCCATGAACACTCAGGGTGAAGGGTAAAGCCTCCAGTTAGGCACGAGCCCAACATTTCCATGGTCAGTGAATTAAGCAAGTGTTGTGCTCAACAAGTTTTCCACTAAATTTTTTGAATGAACTTTTCCCAGATTTTCATTTGAGTTTTGAAAAGTATTTCTTTGTATTAAATTTGTGTTCATATCATGTCTTGATTTCCTTATTTTATCCAGGTGTTCATTTGCATTCTCCTTTCATTCTTTCGGGAACTTACTCATGTCCTTTTAGAATTTTTCAGTCTTCCTTTTGTATCATTCTCTTGAATTCTTTGTCTGGTATTTCATTCTGGTCACTGTTTCTGGAAAAATTATTACTGTGGAATTGGTAATTTTTGGAGGAGTCCTGTTGTCTTGACCTTTCATGGTCATTGTTTCTTTGTTACTATTTGCACATCAGGGATTAGATCATTGTAGGTGTTTTATCTCTTTAATTTTTATATTGAAATATGAAATTCTTTTGGCGGTTTTCTCCTGGGACTAGCTTCTGGTAGGGTTAAGATGCCTTCCCCTCCTACCTCATGCATTAGGCTTGTAATATAGCTCACATGCTGAGAGAGCATCAAGTATAATGCCCAGTTCAACTCCAATAGAGTAGTTCAGGAGAAACGCCACTGATGGGGAGACCCTACTATGAAAACTCAGTAATAGTTGAAAACAACTAATGGGGGATGTCTTTTTGTATGCTGTGAATATGTTTCTCTTATTGGTTGATAAATAAGTCTGTTTCGGCCAATGGACAGGCAGGATATAGCCAGGCAGGAAGGTATAGGCAGAACTACTGGACTAGAAGAATTCTGGGAAGAGGAACTCAGAGTGAGTCTCAAGGGAGACCCCATGTAACTT